CAGTTCACAGGCAAAGTGGTGGAGATGAGAGGTGTTCTAGAGCAGGCTTCAGTATCCACCTGCCAGCTTTCTGGGTCCCAAGGGTGGGAGGCTGGCAGAGTGGGGCTGGACTATGATTCCAGTGCCCAGTCACCAGCTTTGTGATGGTTGAGAGGTGGTTGTGACACTGGTAACAGCATCCTCATCCCTACATCCCAGCTCCATTTGTGGTTCTTGAACTCACAGCCACAGCAGCAGCCGCTGGGGTTGTGGCGTTTGCAGAATTGTTCCTTGAGGCTGACTCTAGAGCACACTCCCCCAGCCCTTCCAAGGATTTGCTAAACACTTTCTGTTTTGGAAAAAATCACAAATTCACAGAAGTTGCAAAGATAGTACAGGGAGGTCCTGTGTACCCTTCACCTAGATTCCCCTGTAGTTACATCCTCCTTAATTGTAGTGTGATATCAAAACCAAGAACTTGACATTGGTACAATATGTGTGATTCCACAGTCCTGTTATCACGTGTACACTCATCAAACACCTCGGCAATCAAGATAAAGAACTGTTTCATTGCCACAAAGATCTCCTGCACTCCTATATAGGCACACCTACCCCTTTCACTCTCTCCCATTCCTAATCCCTGGCAACCACAAATCTGTTCTCCATTTCTAAAATTTTCTCATTTCAAGAGGAATGTTACATAAATGGAACCACCCAGGATGTAAACTTTTGAGGTTGGCTTTTCTTCCACTCAGCACAATGTCCTCGAGATCATCCAAGTTGTCGATGTATCAGTAACCCAATCCCTTTTGTTGCTGAGTAGTATTCCGTGGTACAGATGTGCCACGGTTTGTTTAACGATTTGCCCATTGAAGGACATCTGGGTCATTTTCAGTTCTTGACTATTGCAAACAAATCTGCTTGGAACATTTGTGTACAGGCTTTTGTGTGAACATCATTTTCATTTCTCTGGGGTAAATGCCCAGGAGTCCAATTTCTGAGTCATAGGATAAGTACATGTTTAATTTCTTAAGAAACTGCTCATCTATTTCACAGAGTACCATTTTACATTCTTACCAGCAATGAATGTAAACCCAGTTGTTCTGCATGATTGCTGGCATTTGGTATTGTTGCTGTTTCTTATTTTAGTGGAGGCATGGTTGAGTCTTCCCTCTCCAACAGTGTCTCTATATTTGAACTTGGAAAATGGGGATGATTTGGGGATACTGGGGGATATTAACCTCACAGTTATACAGTAATCCACCCCCACCCCCATTTTCCATTAGTTGGAAAAGGTAGTATTGCAAAACATTGTTTATCAGAAATTCACATTGAACTGGGTGTCCCCTACTTCTGTTTGCTAAATTTAGCAACCCTAGGAAAAGGCTGACCTACCTGAACCAGTCAAAAGTCTGAAAGTACAACACTCAAAAACACATCATTTGATTATTTCCACTAAATGTAAGCTCCCAGAAGGCAAAGATTACATCTTCTTGTACTTTTTATTCCCAGGATAGAATTATCTCAAATTCTAAATTAGTTGTGTGTGATTTCATGAATTTTTTTCTTTGAGAAATGAAACTCCTTTGGTTAAAGGACAAACATAGCTGACTATGCTGCTGTTTGGAAGGGGTGTGTTTTTTAAAATGTTAATTAGAATTTATTTGGCTTTCAAAAATTCATATATAAACATAATGGAAACAGAAATGACACAGGAGGCTTCAGACCACATCCCTTTAAGGTAACTCACTCTGCCCACCTGCTTTCCCATAGGCTCAGTGTGGCTAGAGCGGACTGCGAGGCTGGCTTTGTGCTGCTTCTGCGGTGGGACCTGGGCTCCACAACCTGTACCCTCCTGAAGGGAGGCCCACAGTGCCGGTCCACAGGTCAATGCAGCCTTGGTTCGCTGCCTCTGGTGCTGACTGCAGGGGCCTAGCCAGGCCATCATCACCACCATCACTTGGACTGGGAGGGTGCAGGGCTGCACTTCTGCAGAGACCAGTGGTGGCAGCAGGAGGCTGCCTGCCTTCTGTCCTTCCCTGCATCTGGAAAAGGACTACTTGGAGGCCTGAAACTGCCCTCCTGTCCTGAAGGGTGGAAACCCTGGCTTAACTAGGTCTTCCGTCAGCTGTAGGCCACATGGACTGTTGGGCACCTGGACAGCCTGACTATATCGGGCTGTGGCTGATTGGAACAGCTGGAGGCTGGTCAGGGGCTGAGGAACACCTGAGGCATTCCTTATGGGTTTAAGTTATCACGTGGCCCCCCTGCCCAGATGTGGCACGCCCCTGCTGCCACCCCACCTACAGCCAGCAGGATGGTTTCAGAGTGGACTTACGGCGGAAGTCAGGGGGAAGAGGAGCAGAAGCCAAGGGCTGAGGAGCTCTGGCCCCGGGAGCCACTGGGTTACTTGTGACAGACTTTGGCTTAGTAGCTGTCTGCATATCCCAGACCTCAGCTCTCTCTTGTGCTCTTCCCTTCACCTGACTCTTTGATGGTTAAGATGCAGATTCATAATAAACAGGATAGAGAAATGTAAATGCCCTTGATGTTACGTAAGCTCTTAATCACTCCTGTGTGTGTGTGTATAGGAGTCATAAGAGATTATTTATACATTCATCCCCCTATGAATATGGAGATGATGGAGATGGTCTCTATTGTGTAGGGATGTGTGTGTTACATTGATGTATGTATTTGTCAAAATTCATGTAACTCCACACTGAAGATCTGTGTATTTCAACATAAACGCCACTAAATGGTTTTTTTAAACAGCAGCAGCGGCAAGAGAAAAAATGCTGCTACTACTTAGTGCTGTCAAGGGGTGGCCTGGGCTGCTGGGCATGGATCCAGCTCCTCCGTGGAGCCTGGGGGAAGAAGGTTAATCTCCTAGTGATTGTACACAACATTCTCTAGCTAACCAGTCTTGTTTCCAAAGAGTAGTTGTCAGTGACATGGCAGTGGTCATGTCATAATGTTAGAGGAAAAAAAGGGGGGGGGGGCAAAGTTTCACATAAAGCAGATTCCCAATTTGTAAAACAGTTTGGACAAAGGCAGAGATACGTATATTCATTGAGCCAAGGAACCATTCATTGACTTGGCTGTGACCCACATGACACAAACCCTCACTGAGCTCCCAGCCTGTGAGCAATGCCTCGTGGAGAGGTAAGTGCTTCCCGGGAGACAGTGGCGGGGCCAGCAGGGGTAAGGCTTTGTGGGTGTGACAAACTGGGTTTTCAAGAGAGCTGGCCCTTGGGCTAAGTGGTCTTCCTTTTAAATCAAGGTGTGCCGTACAGAAAGCACAGAGGTGAGTGAATGCACTAATGTGCCGTGTAAGCAAGATGGTGGCTTTCCTCAATGTCCACGGTGCAACCATCATCCAGACCACAATGTTGCCAACACACAACCCACTTGTGTCCATCCCAGTCTTTACCTCCCTTCCCGGTAACCACCATTCTGACTTCCATTGCTATGTTTGTATTCCTGTTCTAGGACTTCATACAAATGGAATCACACAGTAAGTATTCTTTTGGGTCTGCCTTCTTTTACTCAATGTTGTCTGACATTCACTTCATTCTTTTTAAAATCGTCGTGTCCATTGTATGAATATACCTGTTGATGAACACTTGAATTGTTTATGGTGTTTGGCCGTTAAGAGTAGAACCATGGACATTTGAAGACATGTCTTTTTGCTGACATAAGCACTCATTTCTCTTGGGTATATCTCAAGAAGTGGAATTGCTGAGAGATAGGGCAACTAAGTGCTCAGCTTTAGTAAAAACCGCCAAATGGTTTTCCAAGGGGTTGTACCATTTCACTCCCCCAGCCCCAGCAGTGTCTGAGATCTCTGGCTTTGAGCTGAGTCTTGATGTGTGGGTTCTCATGGCAGTTTATGGTGGTGGCAGATGGACGCTACAGTTAGGGAGAAAGATATTCTGGGTAAAAGGAATGTCATAAAGATCCATGGCGACCATGAAAATGCACCATTCAGATCTCCTGCAGCAGAGAACAAGGGGATGGCCCAGCTGCCATGCTGAATCCACCAAGTACTGATGCTGAGGCCACATTTCCCACTGCAGCTCCCGGGTGACGACTAGCACTGGGTGGTGGGCGGGGGGAGGGATACTTATCTAATGGACACCTTTGGCTCAAGAACTCCCTGATCAGCCTGCTGAGAGGTTCTCAGCACTGAGCTACAGCCTAGGCTCCACCTCCTCTCCCCGGCTGCTTTCCCTCTGCCCCTTACAGGAGTCAGACCTGCAGCAGGTCTCCCCAACAATAAAAGGCCAAAACTCCTCTTTCTTCAGGACAGATTTGATCTTGGGCTAACTTTCTAGCTCTGCTCCCAGGGAAGTCAGACAAGCCAGTTAGCTGGATGTCAGGTGCGGTATTAGGCCAAACTGCCCATGGGAGTTTTTGACCTCTGATTGATAAGCTACACCTGGGCTGGAAGGACAAAGAATAAGCTATACCATCTGGTAAGAAAGCATGGCCTTAGGCTTCCCTAAGTGCAGAAACTCGTAACTGGGCATGTCCCTTGAGGTACCCTGGGAACTCTGATTGTGGGTTGTTGAAAACACGTTAACTCCTATGGGACATGGGCTTCTGAATCAAGATGGCCCTCAGAACTACTGATGTGAGGACTGCTCGTGTGGAAGGGAACTGCTGACATGGCCCTGCTGGCATGCTGAGCATCTATCTCCACCCTTCTACAAAACTGACACCAGGTGTGGTCTGTCCAGGTCTTGCAAATCTGAACGTCTAGTTGAGCCTAAGAAAAACTCATGGTAGATACAGCTCTTTCTCCCCTCTGCCCTCTCCTACCTACTTCTAGGCTTTTATCCCATGTAGGTGGAACTGTGATATTAGCTCAGCTAGTCAAAATGAAATCCAACCAGCTTGCTCACTTTGCCATCCTGGACGCTTTCCCATTGCCACGTCTCCCTAGTTAACAATCAAGATTAAAGGGCACCTGGGTTTTGAAGACCGGCTCCCCTTCCTCCCATCCAATAAGAAGACTTGACCAAGATGCTTAGAATCATTTAATGACTGTTCCAAACACACCCTTAACTGGGCTACAGGTAAATTTCACTGGGATGGAAGCAGATGAACCACCCAATCAAACAGTACATGATTACTCGGTTTCCAGAAATCTGGATACCAGAAAAACTCAGTAGGAAACATCAGGATCACCTAGCCAGAGGTTCCTTGTGATTCTTTCTTTCCTTCCTCCTCTCCTCTTCCTCCGCCCTGCTAAGGAACTTCTCCAGGGGTACAAATGTTCAGGATGGGAGAAGGGGAAGTCGGCTCCCATATCTCTAGGACAAAGAGGAGTGCTGTGACACCACACCCCCGGGGCAACAAGATGACGTGGAGGCACAGGCCTGGGGCAGGCCTGCTCAATAAATAGACAGTTCCCAGAAGTCTCCACAGTGGGATTAACGGGCCCAGGGATGCTGAACTGCAGAAGCCACCCTCCCGAGGCCGGGCTGTGGCTCGCTCGCTACGTGCTGCACACCAGCACATCTGCAAAGGGTCCCAGGAGGATCTTGTTGAAGATGCAGCGGACCCACACCAGGTAGGTGGTGAAGGGCTTGATGTTCTCAGTGAAGGTGTGGTTCTGCAGGGCCAGGATGTAAGGCACATAGGTGTTCTCCCCCTGCTCCTGCAGCCACACCTCATACTTCACCTCCCTCACCTTCAGGTACTTAAGGTTCCATGGGATCTGCCAGGAGACAGTGAGGCGGGCCTCGGAGGCGCCATGCACTGACGCCTGGCACCGTGCCTCCCGCACCTTGCCTGGATATAGGCCGACTGTCCACTTCTGCTTCCGTGGTCCTGGCCGGCCCTTCACCACACGCCGTATGGTTTGAATGAGGGATGGGATGTCCACCTTGGTGTCCTGGTAGATTCGGAAGAGCCACTCGGGGTTCCGGCAACAGAGATGCCGTGGGACCTCACGGCTTTGCAGGATACGGGCTTGCTCAGCCCGGTCCAGATGGGTGATGCCCCCCTGGTCCCAGGGCCGCTCAGGGTGTGTGACTGTGTTCTCTGGCATCATGTTCCTCCAGGCTACATACTGGAGGTCCATGCCAGGCAGCATGGCCAGCGTCTTATAGGGAGTGTAGTGGTCGGGATTGACAGCATATGGGAAGAGCTCTACCACAGTTGCCCCACGGGGCAGGAAGAGGGTGGTGACCAGCTGGGCCCCATGCATGCTGACCAGCATGGAGGCGTTGCTGACCAGTCGCACGACATCAGCAAAGGCGTGGTCCTCCAGGGACACTGTCACTGTCTTCATCTGGAACTCCTGGGCCAGTGCCAGCAGCAGCTCTGCCTCATTCAGGATGAGTCTGTTCTGGGTTCGGCTAAAGACCAGAATGTACTCCTCGCCTAGAGGGGCTCCTGTGTGGCTTACGTTCAGCTTTTCTGTCATGAACCGTGCAAACTGCCGGATCTCATTGCCCGAGACCAGGATGTTGGCTTTCGGGCCCTGGGGCTGGACAAAGCCATACTGGTACCAGGTAGTGATCTTGGAGAGGCCCACAAAAGCATGGGAGAAGCACAGCAGCCGGCCCAGTGTCTTCAGCTGTGCCCGCAGGAGAGGCTGCTTGGGGCTGAGCAGCTTGTAGAGGTCGAAGTGTGCACCCTCGCCCCAGCCCTCCATGAAGAAGAGCCGTGCCTCGTGGGCCAGGCCGGGAAACTGCCGCAGGGTGTAGAAGAGTGGCAGCAGGTCGTCGTGAAAGACATGCATGAGGTTGTCGGGGTTGAAGCGGTTGGCAATGAGGGCCACATCTGGCACGAACACCGGCTTGGGCATGAAGCGCAGGGCAGCAGCAGGCAGCTCCACGAAGTTGAAGTACTGGGTGTTGTGGTCCTCCACGGTGGACAGGTCGAGCAGGGCTGGCTGGAAGCGCCGGGAACCCAGGTTGGGTAGCATGACAGAGGTGTTGCCATGGAAGAAGATGAACTCCTCGGCCTCGTTGGAGTAGCAGAGCCACTTGAAGCGGCAGATGCGGTCTGTGTGTGTGCGGCCTGTGCACACCATGTGTGTGCCACCCTCCATCAGGATCTGCAGTGCCTTCGGGTAGTCGATCCTCAGCGCTGGGGCTGGCTCTGTGGCCTGTCGGCCGAGGGCCAGCTCCTCCTCCAGTGTAGCTGCATGCTCACGCAGTCGCACATGCTTCCACAGGACCGCGGCCAGCACCGACACCAGGAGGGCGTTGAACACCGCAGAGAGGTGCATCCTAATGCCACTGTGGGGCCCTAGTGAGATGACGGTCACTGGGAAGCACCACAGGCCAGGCGGGCTTCACCCATCCCTATGGGCATCCCGAGAACTGGTGAAAGCCTGCAGGAGAGAAGGAAAAGAAAAAGGAGTTGGCACAGTCTGCCTGGCATCATTACAAGCTCCTGCTATATGCCAGGCGCTGTGCTAGGCTCTGTGTGCCCACTACGGCACTGGATCCTTGCAGCCATTGTGCTCATTGGTAGGCACAGTAGATTAGACCATTGTTTAAAATATTTACTCCCTCCCCATCGCCTCCATGTTGGAGAGTGCATCCCCATACCTGACTTTGGGCTTAGCCATTTAACTTGCTTTGGCCAGTGAGATGTCAGCAGACAGAACATAATCAAAGGTTTGGAAAGTGTTTGGCCTGGCCTTGCCCTCTTTATGACACTGGCATAAGAAGAATGTATTCAGGCTAACTTGCTGGCCCCAAGAGGAGCGAGTTACGCACGAAGCACAACTGCTCCGGCCATACCCTGTTCTAGTTTAGCTGATCCCTCATGACTGAGTGGGCCCAGCCAAGAGCAGCAGTGCCATCAGCCAAACCCAGCCAAGATCAGCTAACACATAGACATCGGGGCTGAACAACAGCTGATTAAACATCCCTGAAATTCTGGGGCTGTTTGTGATGAAGCACTGCTGCAGCAAAAGCCAACCAAGAGAGGTATCTGTGATGACAGGCCATAGGAAAATCCCTTGCAGGGGCCTGACATTCCTGGACTCTGGGTAATGACTTTCCGTTAAATGAAAACAACTGGCATTGGAGATCTGTGAACACTGTTCCCAGGTTGTACAAGACCCCGGTATGCCACCTGAGACACACACATGTATGGTCAGCTAAGCTTTGCTCCTGCTTAAAGTTCCTTTGGAAATCATGCCTGCTGGCTTTAGAATCCCTTAAGAGAAGGGTAGAAACTCGTCCCCTCAGTGGTAAGATAATTGTATCTGGGTGTCATCACTGAAAAATGTTTTGTATACTGAGCCAAAAACAACCCAACAGGGTTTTAAATGCCCTCTCCCACATACACACACTGACAGAGAGGCCTGGCTAGGGGTGAGCATTTACTCCCTCTTCTTGTGATATTGTGAAGGGTATCATGCCTGCTCTGGGACCCAGGATTATTCAGACAGTGAAGAAGGTCATCCTTTGTGACACAGGAGCAGCACAGGTAACACCTGACACCTGCCTGGCACTGCACCGGGAGGGAGTAGCTGTTCCTTTATTCTCTTGTGGCTAGGTCCTGATGCAATTCCTACCTCCCTGTGATGAAAAGAATCCAAGTGCATCTTGCCTAGAAAGAGAAGGTGTCTTCAGCTAGGTTCCCTAAGAAGCAGAGTCAGGGGCAAGGATTTGAATCCAAACAGTTTGAGAAATTATCCCATGAAACACCTGCAGGAGAGTGGGAAAGTGAGACACAGAAGGGACCAAAGCCAACACATACAGGGTACCTTAATGAGCAGTTAATGCCCTGTGTAGCCTTCCTCCCATGATCATATGCTGGATATAGTATGGAAGCTGGGATACATGTCTATCAAATCCTGTTGGGCATTACTTAGTTGAAGGCCATTCCTGGAGGCATGAGATCTCTTCTGGCCTACTCTTATCCAAAGGTTGAGCCCACACATATGAATATATTATATACTCCCCACCCCCAAATATCAGGAAATGAGAATTACCCTGAACAAGTATCATACATTCTGGTTTTTTCTAGCACACTTTAGTCTAAGCTCATTAACAACAACAACAAAAAAAAAACCTGCCCATAATCATCTTAATTAACTCACCAGGTTGGCAACTTGCTGTTTAAAAAATACTTGTCTACTCCAGATGTTCTCAAGCCTGGCTGATTACTGGAATCCTCAGGAGTAGTTGCTAAATAAAAATCCATATTCCCAGGCACCAGTCCTGGAGGTTCTGATTCAGTAGGTCTGGAGTATGGCTCAGGCATCTGCATTATTTGTTTCTTTTATTTCCTGCCTTCTTGTGAATTGCTTGAATTCCACTTTGATTTATCAGCAGTGTTTTTGAGTACATCTCTTGATATAGATTTTCTAGTGGTTGCTCTAGGCATCATATTATAACCTGTAACTTATCACAGTCTACTGGTATTGACATTTTACTTTTCAAATAAGTGTAGAAACTTTACCTCCACCTAGGTTCTTTTATAATATAATTGTCTTACATGTCTCCTCTACATATAATGAGACCCACATCAGACAGTAATTTTGGCTTCAACTGTCGAGTATGATTTCCTCAAGAGGGAAAGGATCATCTATTATATTCACCCATATTTTTACTCTTTATGTTCGTTCCTCATTCCTGATGTTCCAGGTTTCCTTCCATTCCTACATCCCTTCATTGAAGAACTTCTGTTAGTTTGCTATTCTTTAAGGGTTAATTTCTTGGCAACAAATTATCTTAGTTTTCCTTCATGTCAAAATGTCTGATTTTAGCTTCATTCCTAAAGGATATCTTCACTGAGTATAGAATTTGGGGTATAGATTTTCCTTCTTTCAGTATGTGAAAAATGATGCTGTGTGATCTGGCCTCTGTGACTGCTGATGAGGAACTGCTAACCTTCGAATTGTTTTTCCCTGGAGGGAAATGCATCGTCTCCTGCTGCTCTTAAGATCTTGTTGAGTTCTCAAAAGTTTGACTCTGAGGTGCCTTGGCATGTATTTCTTTGGGTTTATCCTCTTTGGGGTTTGCTCAGATTCCTGAATCTGTAGGCTCTTGCCTTCCCCCAAATGTGGGACATAGCCATTAGTTCCTTGAAAACTTCTGCAGCCCCACACTGCTCTACTAGGACTCCAATTACACCAATCGTAGATTTAAAAAAAAAAAAACTGTATTGTCCCACATATCTCTGAAGCTCTGTTAATTTTTTTCCAGTATTTTTTCTCCCCGTTGTTCAGACTGGATGATTTCTATCATTCTGGCTTCATGTTCACTGATTCTTTCCTGTGTCCTCTCCATTCTCGATTGAGCCCATCCAGTAATTTTAAAATTTTGGTTACTCTATTTTTCGTATCAAAATTTCCATTTAGTTTTTATAACTTTTTTTTTTTTGCTAAAACTTATCCTGGACATTTTGGTTATAATGTTATGATACTCTGGATCTTACTTAAATCTTGTTTTAGTAGCTTCTGTTAAAACCGTACTGGTTGGGGAAAGGAGAGCATTGACTCTTACTGTTGGTTGGGGGTGGGCGTCCAGGCTCCCTACTCAGCCTCCACCAACACCATTGTGGCTGGGAGGGTGAGGGATACTCAGCACAGAGTGTATGTCAGGGGGTCAAAACCCAGGCTCTGCAGTTGGCCTCCAATGACACCCTGGTGTGTGGATGGAAGTCTAGGCCCCAAGAGGACTATCACAGTGAAGGATGTACACTACTACTAGGCGGTGGTGGAAGTCTAGGCTTCCCATCAAGTGGGGAGGGTGTGGGGCAGCTGGTTACCACTAGACAAAGGTGGAAGTCTAGGCTATCTGATACGGTTTGGCTCTGTGTCCCCACCCAAATCTCATCTTGTAGCTCCTGTAGTTCCCACATGCTGTGGGAGGGACCTGGTGTGAGATGACTGAATCTTGGGTCGGGGGGGTTCTTTCCCGTGCTGTTCTCATGATAGTGGATGGGTCTCACTAGATCTGATGGTTTTAAAAACAGGAGTTTCTCTGCACAAGCTCTCTCTTTGCCTGCTGCCATTCATGTAAGATATGCCTTGTTCCTTCTTGCCCTCTGCCGTGATTGTGAGGCCTCCCCAGCCTTGTGGAACTGTAAGTCCAATAAACCTTTCTTTTGTGAATTGCCCAGTCTTGGGTATGTCTTTATTGGCATGAAAACAGACTAATACGCTATCCATTTGGCCTTTACTAAAACTAAGGACTGGAGGGGGAGGCAATTTTCTCTGGTGTTTTGCAGGAATGGAGTATTTATAGAAAAAAAAAACAAAAAAACAAAACAGTTGTGCTATACTGTTCCTTCTTCCAGTCCTTTGACAAAAGAGACCAAGCTTCCTTGGGGCTTTGTTTTGTTCTGTGCTCACTGGCATTCCTGGACTGTGGGCTTCTGTAGCACCCAGGGTAGAATATATAGGAGGCAAGAAGAAAACCCAGAGAACTCACCATTACATTGTTCTGTGAGTTCCAGAGTCCCTAGTTGGTTCACTCCTTTCTCCACCTTTCAGTCTTCCAGTGTTTTATATATAATGTCCAGTATTTTTAGCTATATTAGTAAGAGGGATACGGATAATTTTGTCTACTCCATTTTGACCAGAACCTGAGGTATCCTTGGCATCTACTTTTTTTTTTTAACCAAGCTCCCAGGTGATTCTGGGGTACAAACAGATTTGAGGAAAAGCAAGTAGTTCTTAATCATTAAGAAGCAGGCCATGAAACACATTACCACTTATCAGTTTAAAAGCTTGGAAATGTTTTCCTATTTCTTTTGTATGTAAATTAAAGTAGGCTCAATGTTATCCTTATAATCACATCACCATCACTCAATTGCTTTCTGATACATCTTGAATCAGGAAGATGAGGATCACTGTTTAGCTGGCACAAGAACCCACAACCCCACTGCCTAAGCTGTGGGCAGCAGTGAGCAGCCTATGTGTTAGTTATGCCTTATTAATAGCAACAGCTAGTATGAGTTACTGTTCTGCTCTACTTCACTGCAAAATATCTTTTGGGTTTCAACAACACCTGTATGCCCACAGGAGTATGCTATGCATGTGACTCTTCCCTATCACATACTATGGGGGAAAGACAAAGGGCCAAATGTTGCAGCCAGAACCCTGCAGAACTTCAGATCAGGTCTATCACTTTGCTGCATGACACTGGACATGTTGCTATGCCTCTCTGGCTCCTGGGTGCCTGGATGATCAGATAAAGCATCAGGCTGACCTTGGCTTCTCACCTGCTTAGCAATCAACTATGAAGCAGGATGCAAGCAATAAACATAAGCCCAGCTAAGCCAGGATACAAAGGAGTGGCTTCATTTTTTGTTCTCACAAGGCAGAAAGGAGAGGTGATTCCCACTCAGGCAATCATGTCTAACCTTAGAAGATGACCTTATTTGGAAAAAGGCTCTTTGCACAGACAATTAGATAAGAATCTTGAAATGAGATCATACTGGATGAGGATGGGTCATAAATCCAATGTGACTACCCTTAAAAGAGACAGAAAAGGACATACAGAGAAACAGAGGCCATGTGACGACGGAAGACAGAGACTGGAGTAATGCTGTTATAAGCCAAAGAACCAGCCCGGATGACCAAAACCATTAGAAGCAAAATAGAAGCAAGGAAGGATTCTCCCCTATGGCCTTCAGAGGGAGCATGGACCTGCTGACACCTCAATCTTGGACTTCTGGCTTCCAGAACTGGGAGAAAATAAATTTCTTTCATTTTAAGCCACCAAATGTGTGGTAATTTGTTGCAGCAGCTCTAGAAAACTAATATAGGGACCATAATAATTCATTTGAAAAAGGGGTTCTGTGCTCTTAAGAAGGAATTCCATTGCTATAAAGGTTAACAACCACTAAGCAAGTCCTCATTTTGCCCACAAAAGCAATTTGCCCAACATCACACAGCAAATCAGGAATAAGAACAGAAGTGTTCTAAAACACACCTGCTGCAGCGCTGCCTCCCAGTGGGGACAACTGGGGAGACCAGCAGGTCACCAGCAGGCCCAGCTGGTGCAGCTTCTGTGTTCAGGTTCTCATGAAATTAAGTCTCCACTTCACCATCTACCTGCCTAGCTCCAGGGCCTGGGTCAGTCTGATATGGATGAGCTGCTCAAACCCTCTTGAGGGGTGGGGAACTTACTTGGATCTAGAACAGTCAGAACACCTCAGTCTTGGGAAGCCAACTCCATACATTAGTTTAACTTGTGGGTTTGCTCTTCTGGAGACACCTTTGAAGGTATCACTGATCAATCAGTAGCTATCACATCGTCTCCCAAACCAGCCTGGCTCTCAGCTTCCAATGCACTACTGGCTGCAGGTAGCTCCCAGAAGAGGATATGCACTGTCTGGATAAGTATGAGGATAAAGACAGAAAGACTCAGGTTCAAACCCCAGCTCCTCGACCTACTGCATGTCCTTTCTACACTCAGGCTCCTCATCAATGAAAATGGGGATACAGTACCCACCTCACAGGAAAGTGGAAGTCAGAAATGATGTATTAGTTGAATTTCGTGAATGGTGATAACCACTTTTATCTTACAAAAATCACAATTTCATTCCATCAGGTTCAACCTAACAGGTGCGGTATATAGCGGAGAGGAAAATAAAAAGGTTTTAAGGCACCAGGTAGCTAATAAAGGGCCACTGGGATATAGACAAAACACTGGCATTTTAAAACAGTTTGGACACACTTGGCTACCTTCATCTGACTCAAAGCAAAAACTGATCAGTGGTGAGGCAGGAACTGTCACTTTTCATCACAGTCATTTGAAACAAAGGATTTTAAAGCTAAGCAGAAGATTCCTTCCAAAGAAGATGGAGACAGACCAGACAGTGAACGCTGTCACTGTGTCACTGGTGGCACCTTGGGCCTGGTCGGTCGCCAACCCACTGCTTCTTGGGCATCCAGGTCGAGTGTACTGACAGATGACATAATGGACACTGTTGCTTCCCCCAGCAGCCACTGCCCTCTTCCTCTTCCTAATAACATCCCCAGTGTGTCCAGAGAGCCACCCTCCGGCTGATACCCATGAGGTTCAGAGAAGCTCAGACCTTGCACCTCAGGTGGACGGACTGTTAGCAGAGCCTACTTCTGGGGCCAGGTACTGGTCCAGCCATGGCAAGTTACCCGAGTGGGACCAATTCAGCTGAGGAATGAGGTGTCACATGTCATGTTCCCACTCACTAGACAGAAAAAGAAGATGTCTCAGGGCTGCTGGCTGCCATCTGCTGACCATGAGGGAACCAGCTTGAGGCAAAGACAATGCCTAGGACGGCATGGCCAAAGAGATATAGAGGACCCTGGTGACATCTCCGAGCCCCATCTCGGACATCCTGCTGTGAGAAATGGTAACTTTCCTCATTGCTGAAGCTAGGCTGGGTTGGGATTTTGGCTTCCCACAGCCAGAACATTCCAACTGGTATGGAAGGAGAACCTGTTTGCAAAGTGTCATGCATGAGGTAAACATGCAGGGTCTGGCTGCGTCTCCTGTTTCTGAGCTCTGTGCTCCAGCCTAGGGGGATTATTTCGCATCAGTTTCCCCTGGACTCTTCTATAACTTGGGTAAATGAAGCCTTCTCCCTAAGAAACCTTTTCATGAGACATGAAAACAATCAAATAGAGGATCTGTGACAATTTTCTACACAGGTGCCATCTGCCAGTAGGGAATGAGAACTAAGGCCACCAAAGTGTCACAGCACGGGCAGAAGGTAGGCTTCAGTGAGCCCTGCAGGCAGGAAGTGCCAGACCCCTCCTGAGGAGCAAACAAGTCCTCTGGTGTGGCTGTTTCCTGGAGCTTTCAGAGGGACAGAGATGTGATATCTGAAAAGTACAAAGGCAGGGGGTAGGAGGCAGTCCAGGGAATGTGACCCAAGGCCACAACACAGTCCGGTCTGGTTGGAATGGATGGTTCACAAGGAGAAGAAGTAGAGAGAAACTTAGAAGAATCAGCCGAGGGTGTGATGCCAGATCAAGGAGTTTGAATTATATCCTATAGGCAATGGGGAGCTATTATAAGTCTTGGAACAGAGCAGCTTGGAGGTTCTCTGGGAGAACAGAGGTAGAAAAAAACCAATTAGGAGCTCCCAAGCTCAGTGTCTCCCTATTTAATACAGGAGAGGAGAGCCTGAGTGTTAGAATGGGGGCGCCCAGAAGGGAGCATACAGAGGAAGTTGGTGGGTCACACTCTGCATGAAGGGGGCACAGCAGCATGTTCCTGATGGCAATTCAAGTCCCAAAGTCTGCAGATGATTTAAATTTAAATAAATTCTCACAACCTCAAAGCTCATCCTTTAATAAAACTTCCACTCTTTCACATCTTAATGGGCCTTCTTGGTGGTAAGAGAAGAGGATAAAGTCACAGCTATCTTGAGGGCCCTGCAGAAAGGAGAATATAGTGGGGCCCTGACTTCATGTCCTTCATTCAGGTCTTCAAGGCTCTTGTGGAACCCGGGCTGAGAACTTCTGGGCCAGCCACAGGTGAGAGGCCAGAGCTCTGTGGCTGCCTTCTTAGCTGGGTTTTAACAGCACCTCCCGTCAGCCTTGTTCATCTCTAGGGGAGTGTCTCTGTGAGCCTAGAAACCCTGAAGCTGAGAAATCTAATTAAACTCAATGTTTCCTCAGTCTTTTCAACCCATTCACCCATTGATAATAAAAAGAAATTCTCTCATGCCCCAAACTGACCTGTAAAGTTCAACATCCCCTTCTCCCTCATTCATAAGACTCTCTTCTGCAATGTCTGCTCCTCAAGACCAGTGAATTCCATCAACCTTTACTTTCTGATGTCGGTATTTTATATCAACATCTATCTATATATTTTACTTTTCAATGTAAAATTATATCACTGGATATGCTCTTTCAAATAGGCATGCCCCCAAGTGGACATTCTCCATACAACCCCACCAGCTAAGAACCACTGTGCTGAACCACATTAAAGTGCTGATATGACTATTTTTGACCAGTGTCCCGTGGTCCTGCCATAAGAACCAGGTATCCTTACCACCACCAAGGTATGGACAGTTCTTCTCAAGAGAGAACACCTATGTGATCAGTAAGACATGCCCTCAGCTGGAGTTCTGACATCTGATCTCTAGGAGGAAAGAGGAGAAGCCAGGAGCTAGAAAGAGACCAGGAAGAGGGAGAGTTCATTAACATTTGAGGTTAGGAGAAGAAAAAAAATAAAGGATAAAATTAGAAAAGGGACAAAAAGGTTTCAAAAGAGACTGGAAAGACAGGGAGAGACTGTCTTACCAGGGGGTGGAAGGGAGATCACCCTGAGGTCCTCAGCTCAGATCTAAACCAGGGAACTGAAGAGGAGCTCATGCTGGGGTGGCAGGGAGGAAGGCACCAGGGAGGAACATGAGCAGGGGGAGCAGTGGCAATATTTGTGAGTGTTTACCCTAAACGAATGACTGGACTGACATTTGTAAGAGGAACTATGTCAAGCACAGCTCAAACACTTTTTGTATATACAAAAGATCAAGGTGCTAATTTCAGACACTGATTCTCCTCCCACAAAGTGTCTAGTGATAACTGTCATAGCTAAGGAAAAGGTTGGAATTATAGGTGTCCTAGTTCAGTTCACCAAGAGGGCCTGGAAGCAGTGACAGTGCAGCAGCAATCAGTATACCCAGCACCCAGAACTAGCTTTCTAAAAATCTTTCTCTACAAAAGGAACCAGAGCTCCTTGGAGAAATGGTTTATTCCAGGGCTAGGGCAGGGAAAGTACAAGACGAGCTTGGAACATTTTGTAGTGCCAGAATGTAAAAGTATTAAAAAAAAAAAAAAAAAGATGAGGAGACAGTGAAAAGGCACAGGAGCCAGCATCAAAGAGCTCCCAACAGCTAAATCTTGTATAATTTTAGTACCAAAATTAAAAAGTAATAGTAATGAATTATAACCCATAGAATAAAATATCCATGAGTCAATATTGATATGAATAAATAATTAGGAGAGAACGGACAGATCTTCCTTAGAGAATTTCAATTAAAAAATATAGAGGCAATCATGGAAATAGAAGATCACCATTTGGCAAACATCACAGTGATAACTGTTGCAGGCAAGATCTGCTGATAGATGCTAAAATTAGTGGGTGAAAAAGTATGATGAGAGGATATTTGCATAGTCTCAAAGTATCTCCCCATGAGGTGCATATTAATTACAAAAGTAAAAATGGAAACTACTGTAGAGAAGCCTGCCAGACATGCCCCAAACCAAGTAATCAAAATTATCATCACCTGTAATAACACTGACATCATGTACCCCTTTATATGATGCACTGAGACAGGACCTCACTTCTATGGTTTTCCTGCCCAAAATGTGTAACTTCAATCTATATTTCTAAATGGGGATCCATGGTTCTAGCTCTAGTTCTGGCTCTGAATAAGGTCTGTAGGTTAGCTAATAGAGAAAACCTTAAACTCAAATTAAGGGATGTTCTACCAAATACCTGGCCAGTACTTGACAGGGCTAAAGTCATAAAAGACAAGGGAAGATGGAGGAGCTGCCTCAGATTGGAGGGGACTAAGGAGACACAGCAACTTAATGCAGTGTGGGATTCTAGCTTGCATCCTGGACCAGAAAAGGAACATTAATGGGACAACAGGCAGAATTTGAATAAGGTCTGTGGTTTAATGTGTTGTGTGAATTTCCTGGTTTTGATCATTATACTATGCTCTGTAAGATGTTAATAGTAGGGGAAGTGGGGAGAAGTGGTTTATGCAACTTTTTTGTAAGTCTAAAATGTATTCAAAATAAAAAAGTTATTTATTTTTAAAATAAATTACATAAGAAACGTGAATTTTTATTATTTTATTTTTTATTTTTGAGACAGCGTCTCACTGTTGCTTTGCCCAGGCTACAGCACAGTGGCATGATACCAGCTCACTGCAACTTCGAATTCCTGGGCTCAGGCGATCCTCCCATCTCAGCCTCCCAAGTAGGTAGGACTATGGGCACGGGCCACCAGCCTGGCTAATTTTTAAATTTTTTGTAGAGAAAGGGGTCTGGCCATGTTGCCTAGGCTGGTATTAAACTCTTGTACTCAAGCAATCCTCCTGCCTCAACCTCCCAAAATGTTGGAATTACAGGTGTGAACCACCGCACCCAGCTGAGAACATGAGTCTTTATAAATGGTAATGACATGTAAAATGACATGAATGTGGTTTGCTCCAGCAAACAAAGTAGACAGACAGAACCCGACAGGGGAATACTGATCACTGTGGAAGATGGTGGGGGATGGTGGGGTTCTTTATATGTTTGTACTCTTTCGTGTTTACTTGACATAATAAATACATTAAAAAGGAAACAATGAAGAATTAAATAAATCACTATTTATAAACAAGAGAATTCTGAAGAGTAAACAAGAAATAAATTGATATTCAGAAAAAATAAAACTAAGCCCTCTCTGGAGAGACGGGAGGCAGATGCATGTCCTATGAGCTGACACACATTTTGCCCTGATCAAAGAATAGCTTCCAATAGAAGCTAAAGCCAAAACAGACAAACCCAGGGAATATCAAATAGCCAGACCCTCACGGAGATACGGAAAGAAGAGAGGAAAGACTTACCTCCAACGTGAGTGGGCATCTCAGCCCCCAGGTATTCCAGGTATTCATCATCTCTCTAGTGATCATTCTGCCACCTGCCCCTCTCTAAGGCAGGCTTGGCAGCAGGTGGGGATATGGGGCAGTGGCCACAGGCAGGCAGGAGTCTAGGGTCCACATCTGGACCTGACTGACTGTGTACATGCAGTGGACAATCCCAGCAAAGCACTGATATCAGGGCCTTAGGGCAAAGCTCATAAACTGGGAAACATGGGTGGGGGCCTTGTGAGGCAAATTGGCAACTAAGCAGAGACCAGCCTTCGAGACTGGGGGACACGGGGGCTGCTTCTAATTAGCTGCTAAGTCTTCCCAATCCCCCAGTCCCTAATCCCTCCCAACTCCCATCCTCCTATCCCCATTCTCAGGCCCTGCCAGAATAGTGTTGATGGAAGGCAGGACAGACTGGCCTGCATGGACCTGCACTGGGCATTTCAGGTTTCCGAGTTACCCTTCTAAGGGGAAAATGGGAAGAAAGGTTTGCTGGAGACGGACAGAGCAACAATCAGGTCCTGGAGTTCTGATTGCCTGGGAGTTTCTACCAACTTTACCACTTACAAGCAGGTAGCCTACACCACTGTCGGATGAATACCCCACTCTCATACTCCGCAGGCAGGTTAGCTTTGAGACATGTTCTACACTGGCTCCCAGGGGTCCCCAATGGGATTAAGCCCCAGCTGTCCACAATGGTAAAAAGCGTGACACACACCCTTTTTGGCTGCCTTCCCTTCCCTCTCTCACTTTCTCACTCCCCATTCATGTTTACACGTCCATTGGGACTGAATACAAATCATCTACTTGCTAAAGAATCCTTGTCTTAGGATCTCAGGATCTGCTCCTGGGAGACTTAAAAAAAATAATAGATCTAGTCCTGAATCCAGAGGGGAACCTTAATAAACAGATATTACTGTATTTTGTCACTGTGGAGACATGGAAAGCCACCCTTGCACTTCTACCTACTGTGAAGTAGGTAGCCACAGTGTGGTAGTAGGAAGCCAACAAGTACTTGAGCAGTCAGTGTCACTACAAAACACTGTCAGCCTGTTTCCCACACCCTAGTGGCACCTGCCCCTCCTCCCAACAGCCTGCATAAGCCAGCTGAACTGAAGGATCATGCAAAATCTTCAGGAAGGTTTTCAAAAGACAACAGATGGAGGCAAGGAGTACATTAATCGGAACTCCAGCCCCAAAGAAGATAAAGAGGCCTTTCCTCTTCACCACATCGAAATGTTCCTGGATAATAAACGCATACTTCTCTAGGAGGAAAATTCACAATGGTGAAGAATAACTGGGCCAAGTTGCTTACTGGGCAACAGACCCAGTGATTTCCCCTTTCTCCGGGCCAATTTACACTGCTGTGGGGCTATCACAGCCTGGAGAGGCTGCCAGTCTCACTGACAACAGAACAGCAGCAACGAGGTTCAGGGCGTGAGAGAGCCCAGGTGGCCCTCCTTGGCCTTGGAGCCTGAAGAGACTTGAAGCTAAGCCACTGTCTTCCACAGGACTGCAGCCTGGTCTGACAGACACTGTCTGCTTGGTCCTAATGTCTGATCGTTCAGGGCACCTCTGTGCACCAACTGCCTCCCCAGAGCACTGGCGACAAAGGGATAAGAACTCTTTCAGACTGAAGACCTCCATTCCCCACTTCATCTGTCTCCTGGCTTTGCTGAAATGGGCAGGGGCCAGGATCCCAGCATCACAAGAAATCTGACTGTGCAGTGACGAGGAACTCCCTCTCAGTCCTAAGCAGCCCACCCTCCTTTGTGCACTTACTCTGAGAGCACAAAAGCAGAGCTGGAATGTGCCTCTCCTGCACCTGCTGTCCTTAATTCTGTCCCCCAGTGAACCCATTTCTGAGCAGTCATGCAAGGTCACCCTGTCTGCAGTCAGATCTGGCTAGCACCCCAACCTGTTGAGCTCCTGCTATGTCCCAGTGCTATGCTAGGTCCCTCACACACGCACACACAGCCTCGCTAAATCCTTCCTTACCCCTGCTCAGCAGGGTGGTGCACTTTGTCTCCATTTTCCTTTCAGAGACAGGCTCAGAGGCTGAGCCATGTGTTGACAGTCCAGGATTCAACCCCAAGCATCTCCACCTGTGCTGACTCTCAAGAGACAAGGGCTGCCCAGACAGAGTCTTGTCATGAGGAGGTGAGAGGTGGTACTTGGAGGCGTGGGCCACCCAGGATAATACATTTTGTCTCTACTTAGTGCCTTCCTGAAAACAGAGGCTGATTCTTTAGGATGTGCGGGTGGGCATGAAGGTCCAATGGTCACTGATGCAAAGCACCCCACCACCCTCTGGGCTTACAGAGCCTCCAATGAGATGGGATCAGTACAGGACAGATGGTCTCTGACATGAGCCATTCCACACAGAGAAAAAAAAACAGAT